GGTCCTCTAGGACTTCCTCACCATACGACTGTGTCCTTGGTCACTACCCCAGAGGACTGCTCCTCTTCCTTTCCATAGTCTGGGCCTTTGGGGACAACATTTCGGAACACCGTGGCCTTACGCGAGCCATCTGGGTACTCTCCCCACCTTCCGCCCTTGGGTGCTCTAGCCATGGGCTTAGAGCGAGGTTCCGTTGAGCCACGCCTGGTATCCAAGTAAGTAGTGCCACCCACACTTGGACTAGGAGCATCGGCTAGTCGATCTCCTGGGGGAACTAAAGCCGGCTCTTGAACACTTCACCAAGCTACCCCGCTTGTCAGTCCGTGTTCACTCTAGTCTTGGACTTCTTAGTGGTTAGCTCATCTCTCAACACTGGGTTTGGCCTTCCTGGGCCAAACTAGCCTTTCCTGGCCAAACTGGCTCCGTTGGGCTCCAACCCCCACTCTCTCCCTACTATACTTTTGGAACCCCCCGCAACCCCCCCCCCCCCCAGGGGGGACGATCGCTTTGGGCTTTCACCCAATTGCCTGTATTAGTATTTGGACTCGGACTCGGACTTGGTCTCGGTCCCGGATTCGGACTTGGACTCAGTCTCGGTCTCGGTCTTGTTCTCGGTCCCGGTCTCGGTTCCATCTCGGACTCCATCTCGGACACCATCTTGGGTCCATCTTGGACTCCATCTCGGGTCCATCTCAAACTCCATCTCGGGTCCATCTCGGACTCCATCTCGGACTCCACTTCGGGTCCATCTCGGATCCATCTCGGACTCTATATCGGATTCCATCTTGGACTCCATTTCGGGTCCATCTCGGATCCATCTCGGACTCCATCTCGGACTCCACTTTGGGTCCATCTCGGAGTCCATCTCGGACTCCATATCGGACTCCACTTCGGGTCCATCTTGGACTCCACTTCGGGTCCATCTTGGACTCCAACTCAGGTCCACCTCGGACTCCATCTCAGACACTTCCATGTGTCATATGTTGGTCCTTTTTGGGTCCCTTTTTGGAGCCTTGCTTATTGCTTGCTTCGTGCTCGTTCCTTGAGCAATTTGTTGGGAGTTCCACTCCCGCTCTCGACCTTCCAAGTCAGAGCTTTTAGTCCAAACGTGTTGCACTCGTTTGGCTTTCGCTTCGGCCACTACCACGTAGCACCCTTTCCGGCTCCACTTTGGGGCCTAGGGATTTTGTGTCTCACATATTGCACATGCACAATTTCGAAAGGATTAGCCTATTGGACATTATGCCAAACCTTATCAAATTGTGATCCAACTTGCCACAATATTCAATACTAAGCAAGGAACCCTTTAGTCAAACCATATACCATAAGATTGGGAAAATGAATTAACACTAAATCATCCACTTTGTACTTTGTAGGTGGACAATGATGGGAGTTGTAGTGTTATTCTTGTCCCATGTGTTCAGTAGACTCTATTTAGATAAGTGGAAAAATGTTTATCAAATACTAATCTTAAGACTTAACATTGGCAGTCGTGGCAATCACAAATGCAAACTTAATTTTGTTGGTAATACTGGATCATGATTATATAAAAGTTTATATGGTGAAGCATTAACAAAACTTTGCACCCTATGACATATGCATACTGAAAAGATAGGATATAAACATCCCAATCTAAATGTTGAAATTTTATATACTTCTCAATCATCCCTTTGAAGGTCTGAACAAATCATTCTAACAAGCCATCTGATTGTGGATAATAAACATTTGTGAAAGTGTTGCATATCTAAAACACCACTAATTGAGGAGGAAGTATCTAACAATAGTTGTAGACACATTAGCAAGAGCACCAATTTCCACCTAATGAGTCAAGTAGTCAAAAGCAATAATGACATTCATTGCTAATAATCGACCGTGGAAAAGGCCCTATCAAATCAAATACCATTAACTCAAACAGATGGGAAAATGCAATTAATTTCAACCATCCTTTCGCAACACAAGGGGGAGTATTATGAACTTGGCACCAATTGCAGCTATGCATATACTAGATAATATCATGTCATATCTCAAACTTATAAAAAGAATTGCATAGCTTTTCAGTCACATGATAATGTCCTATATACCCATATAAAATAGGAGAATCATGATAGGTATGGAAAAAGCATAGAATAAAGATTGAAAGCACCACAAACCATAAATGATCATTAGGATTCGTCCCTATAAAATAAAGAAGATTAGCTTCAAGATGATATCAAGAATATAAATGCCAAAATAGCAAGTCATCATCATCTAATGTAGAATTCTTAAATCTATTGTGAAGCCTTTGGATCCACAGCTTAACCTTTTGATCTTTATAAACTTTATTAAAAGAAGATAAATTTTGCTTTGCACTTTGTAGACATTAAATGTCAAGTACAACAACTACCGATGGCATGAAATCCTTGTTAAAAAATCCATAGATGCTAGAATAATAAACTTATCAGAAACATGAGAAGAGAGTGAAGAAGGAAAAGGATTTCAAAAAAGGATATCAATATTAACCATAAATCTCCCTGTGCAATGAACAATATCAAAATTATATATCTGAAGCTTCAAAGCCCACCAAATAGTATGACTAACTAAGTTCTTCAACTTTAATAATGAAGTAAGTGTAGAATGATCACCTTCTTGTAATGTCTGAGAACCATGTAGATATGTATGAAGTTATTGAAACTTCAAGCTACTACTAAACACTTATTTTTTATCGTGGAGTAGTTCACCTCTATTGGTTGTAATATATAAATGATATATACAATAATATGGTGCTGACTAAGCACACTTGGGCTCTTTTGCATTAATACACCTCCAAAATCGATATCAGAAGAATCTACGTGCAAAATGAAAAGTCGAGTGTAGTTAAGATATGGCAAAATTGGAGGAGTTATCAATAACTCTTTGAGATCCATAAATACCTGCTCACAGTTTGTAGACAAAATGAAAGATGACATTGACGACTTTAGCAATGCTTGCAATGGTGCAATGCAATCAAAAAGATGATCAACAAAAAAACTGAGATATTACACCTTGCCTAGGAAATGTTGCACATTATTCACACACTTTGAGTGAGGAACTTTAAAGTAGCCACAAGTTTGTCTGGATCAACTTGGAAACCCTTACAAGAAATATGGTACCCAAGATAAGTCATGTCCTTGGACCCAAATATTCACTTTGATTATTTCAATTTTAAACCAACTTCTCATAGTTGATCCAACACCTTATGAATATCATAAATATGTTCCTCCCAAAGTGGATCAAAATATCATTGATGAAGTCTGAAACTTACTAAATATGAAATAGTGCTAGATTGTGAATTTGGGCATAAGACAAACATTATTGTGTTCAAAACAATCTCTACATTCCATAAATATGCCAGACAAGCATAGTGCAAGACAAAGCAAAAGAGAATTAAAAGTCAGGCCAAGTATGCTCAGCAAGAAACACATAGGAGTTCTTACTTTATGTTCATTTGACTAAGTAATTTACTAACACTTGAACAAAAAGGGTTAAAAACAAAATTAGCAATACCAACCTTTTATCATTGTGGCAATAAAGAAAGAATATCTAAAAGGACTTACTGACAAGTAACTTTTGATACCTACAATCACATTCATAACAAGAAGTTTCAAAGTGTTTGGCATGATTATGTTACAATCAATCCATACTAAGGATAAGTTCAAAAACTTAACTTGACATTACTTGCAATGACTGTAACTCAAGCTTGAAATCTCCCACATGCACAACCAAGTTCGCTTTATCCCATGCACATATATATATAGTCGTTGCTATAAAGAATGGAAACTGACTCTGTTGTATGATGCAAATGTAGACGGCAATGTATGGCAATAAACTAAGCAATAGAAAATAAACTCAAGCTTGTATCAACCAACACGGAGAGAAGAATAAAGGACCCTTTATTATAAAAATGAGTTTGGAAAGTAAACACTAGATGAATTGATACTAAGTAAACTATTTGATAATGCTCCCAAAAGAAAGATGAAGGGGTTATTAACTTATTTGCACAAGGTCCCTTCATTACTCGTGCAACTCCTTGTTTCGCAAAAGCATTTTGGTATTTAGACTTTCCATTGTAACAACACTAATAGGACATTGTTAACGCCAAAGTCTTCACCTAAAAAATAAAAGTCACAAATTTGGAAAACACTAACAACATTGATAAGTGTAACCAACCTTATCATACATCCAACAACGGACATCACAACTATGACCACATCTTCACTCGTGTCTTTGAACTCGGGCAACAATAGCATCAACATCCATTGGAACAAGACTATCTTCCACAGGAAGTAGAGCTAAAAAATGTGTAATGAGAAGTGGAAAAGATAATGTATCATAATGTTATGCTAAATAAAGAGTATCATTAAGGGTTGCTAGAGCAAATGCATGTATAAATCTTATAAGATCTTTATGAAGTCACAACATTCCCAACTTGATCATCTCCGATATATTTGGTGTTTTATAGATTTAATTTAATTTCCAAGTTTAAAAATTACATAAGCACTACCAATTTATTATGTATAAAAACACCAATGTAGTTATTAGTTTTGGTAACTAAAACTATTGTAACAAGATAAAATTATTAACTGTCATGTAAAAATCATGAATATTATTTACTTTATATGTACACTTCTAATTTTTCCCTTCTTAATTAAAATTTTGGCATAATTACTTAAATAAACAGAAAATATTGTCAAATTTTTTAGATATGTGAAATAATGTATGGACAAATTGTTTACATGTGAAATAATATATCCTCACCTGTAAATTAGGACATATGGATGAAACTTTTGAGAATTTCAAATATACTGCTATCACTCAATTATCATTAACAAACTTTTCATTTATCTTTATGGTCTGAATCCTAACTTTGCATCTTTATGGTGTGGTTTCCAAAAGGTGTTTCTCAATCCTCACCTCCCAGCAGGAAATTATAAATTTCCCCAATATATGTTGCCATCCAAGAGGTTAGGCTTTTTACAAAGCTTTTGAAAGAGGTTTAGGGTTTATAGGTACTTAAAGCATCTTCAAGTATATACTAAACTTTTCCCGCGCTAGCTGAGTCGTCTTCCTCCTCGCGCAGGCTCTTGTAGCGGTACCAGTGCGCCAGCGGCAAATAGATAAGGATGTCGATCGCGCTGAGAACCGCTAGCAGCCAGAAGAAGTAATCCATGTGCCCCTGGTTGAGATTGTCTGCGATCCATCCGGGGTTGCCATTCCTCTGCGATATGCGCATCACGATCGTCACCAGCAGGCTGCTGAGGTAGCTCCCCAGCGCGTTGGTCGTGAGCGACAGGGCGGCGGCCAGGCTCTGCATCCCGTCCGGCGACTGCTGGTAGAAGAACTCGATCTGGCCGATGAAAGTGAACACCTCCGAGGCGCCGATGAGAAAGTACTGCGGGACTTGCCAGAAGATGCTCATCTGCCTCCTCACCAGCACCGGATCGTCGCTCACGGCGTCGGGATCCATCAGCCCCCTGCTCCGAGCGATCTCCAGGCGCTTTATCTCCACCAGCGCAGCGATGATCATCGAGAAGGTTGAGATGATCAGACCGATTCCCATCCTCTGGAGCTGCGTGAACCCCTGTGGATGCTTGGTGTAGCGGCGGACGAGCGGCACCAGGAGGCGGTCGTAGAGAGGGACCCAAAGGATGACGCTCAAGGTGTCGAAGATGGAGAGCGAGGCCGGCGGGATCTTGAAGTTGCTCGAGCCGACGTAAGTGTTCATCACCCCGCCTTGCTCCACGAACAATGTTGACATCTGGGAGTAGACGGTTGCGAAGACGATGCTGGTAGCCCAGATTGGCAGCAGCCGGGCGAGCATCTTCACCTCCTCGACTCGAGTGACAGTGCTAAGCAGCCATGGTGACGGTGATACTTCGGCGCTCGCCCTGTCTTTCACAGCAGCTTTGTCCAGAAACCTTTGAGAAAAGTCAGTGTGAAAAAATAATAAATCGGAATACATGATAACTCTTACCGAAAGTTGGGAGAGTGTGCTAGCTTCCTCGTCTCCGAGTCGTTGTCCTCGTGAAGCAAGGATTTGTCTTCAGGAACTTGGACTCTCCACTTCCGCCCGGCGGCAAGAAGCACTTGGGCGACTCGTGTGAGCGGACTCATCCCTGGAGGCTGGTGCCTGTACAGCCTGGTTCCCGAGAAAAAGGAGCATATCGCTATCGCCATTGCCGCCGTCGGGATGCCAAAGCCCCATGCCCAGCTCACTTGGTCTTGGATGTAAACCAGAATGCTGCTCGACACGAGAGCGCCGATGTTGATGGAGAAGTAAAACCAGTTGAAAAACGATGTCATCTGTTTCTTCTCCGCCGGATTCTTGTCGTCAAACTGGTCCGCTCCAAACGACGAGACGCACGGCTTGATTCCACCCGTCCCGAGCGCTATGAGATATAGTGAGCTGTAGAAGACTGCGAGCTGGCCCAGAGTTGCCGATGAGCATGACTGTTCGTGACAAGTTGGTCGTAGAGACGGTAGTGACGCTGAAAGAGTGAGAAGTAGCATTCCCTTGCACAATCCGAAAGTCACTTCATAAGCTAGCTTGATAGCAATCTTACCAGGAAGTATACGCAAGAGAAAGCAGCGATCGTCCAGTATCTTCCAATGTAGGAGTCCGCGATAAAGGCGCCAATGAGCGGCGTGATGTAGCAAGTTCCCGACCAGTTGTTGACATTGGTAGCAGCGGTTGCATTGTTCTGGTTGAGCTTCTTGGTCATGTACACCACCAGGTTAGTGCTGATGCCATAGTATGCCAGCCTCTCGCAGCATTCATTGCCTGAAGAAACGTTAACACACAAACTTGAATCGAAAAAAAGAGCTCACCAAGTATGAATGGACAAGCTTTCCAGCCGCCAGTCTTCCTTTTCTCCGCACCCTTAAGGGATGAAAGGGAATCCTTTCTCTACAACACAAGATTAGAAGCATTAGCCAGTGAAAGCAACGAGTACCTGGAGCGCCGGCGCCTCCACGCTCTCGGGAGCTTCCATGAGAACAATAACACACTTTTTAGCAAAGCCTAGAAATCTTATTTTAAGGGTTCTAAAACCAGTTTCGGTGCACCTGCAAATAACTTTGAAAACCACGTAGCATAATTGCATCAAACACAAAAAAAAGAAAAGCTTGCCAGTCACATTCGCGTCGCGTGATTGAACGAACTTGTTAACAGTCGTTTTCTTTGACAGCAAAGCGGGGAAAATGCCGCAAAGCGATTTAGACATAAAGTATCCTAGCCGTATCCGCGATCACTGCTCACAAAACAGACTGTTAGTATTTATATGAACCGAGAAAGCTCACCGCACTTTGTTTGCTCCCCGTTTACTTGTTCAAGAGCTTTCGTTCGTACGTTGTGTGGAATAACAGACAAGCTGCTCAACCGTGCGCCTCCTTCTGTGCACCACGACTTCTGTCTCCTGAACTTTCGCAAAGGGTTCACAGTCCAAAACCAACTCAGTCTCATGGTAAGGAAGGAGAGAATCGAGCGGCAGAAAGCGAAGCAGTCGTCTTCGGTATCAGGTGATTTTTTCTCGATAAAACCATCTTCCACCATGAGTTTGCTGATAGACTTCCCTTCGCGAGGTAGGAACTTGGTCTGGAAAAAACACACATTATACACACAGAACGGATACGCTTCAGATAGTTCTCTTACCTCTACGGTTGAGAGATCGACCCCTCTGGTGCTTAACTCATTGAGCAAACTGTTGAATTCTTCTTGCGTAGGAAGGTAGTGGCCGCTGTAACCCTCGATAGACTGATATAAACAGATGGTCATAGATAGATTTATGCATAGCAGAGCTTGAGTACCTTTAAAACTCCATCTGTGGCTCTCAGACGTCCGGCTGCTTTTACCGCTCCTCCGGCTAAAAAGCTCGAGTGCTGGAATTTTCCTCTTACCTTCTGTAAAGAAGAAATACAAAAGTGCAACTTACAAGAGCTTGCTTAAGAAAACCTCTTACCCGTCCAACGTAAAGCTTCCCATTCGTATCCATTACGAAAATCCACTTGTCGCGTCCTTCGTCCGTATCAAGAGGTTTCCCACAGCTGGTGTATATCAATCTCCCGTCTTGAATCGTCACCTCGTACTCTTTCCTTTTTTTCTGTTGGTTTCATCAGTCTCAAGCGCCAAAGAATTGGAAAATTGCCATACATACTGGACTCAAGTAGCAAATTTGTTCTTTCATGAGAACTGTTCTAGGACACTCCTCAAGGTCCAGGTATCTCCCTTCCCCGGCATCTAGCCTGTACCGAAGCAACTTAGCATAAAGCTTTGTCAACTACAAAAACAAACGCAGCACCAGGTAAAAAAACGCTCCTTCGTCCCACTTCTTTCCCAGGCGTTGAAGTAGAAACGCAGATTGTGTCCATAACGGTGCTTCACATCAATCTGCGCAGAAACATCAGAAACTGACGATGGCGAGTGTGATCAATCCACAGCTGACTTACAGCTTCCAGCCAGTGTTGAAACGCGAGCTTCTTGGCCTTCTCGTCCTGGAAAAGTCCTCTTCCCACCTGCAGATCGCCCAGCTTTCTTGAAAAAACCGAAAACACTCGATGTTTGGATCGACCTTGGCGGCCTCTCTTCCAGCACGGATCCACCGGTGAGGAGGATCATCTTGCGCTGTCTTCTTCGATAGGACGACGCCATTCACAACGTTCCACCTAATTGACAAGATGTGAGAAAAGAGAGAATGGAAGAAAAAGAAAGAGCTATACCATCCATAGTCTTTGGCTAGGCACGCGCAGTCCGCGAGCTGGCGCCTGGTTCTGTAGCCACGATACATCTTTTGCATCGCGATGGCGGCATCGTCCTGAGGTTTCTCTGCCAAGACAGAGAGCACAAGCTAAAACTCGAAATTTCTTTGCGGATGATCGATCGGTTAAGAAACACCGCACCGCAGCTCACAGCGGCGCTCTTTCGAACCGGAGCGCCTTCTAGCGCCGAGCAATCCATCCTAAAATTCGTCGATCTGCAAGGAAAATGCCGCTAAGCTTAGCGCAAGGGAGTCAAAGCAGCAAAGCAAGACCGATCGAAGCTTATCCACACCTGCGCGCGTGGCAGCGATCCAATCTCTCGAGCTTCCGCTCGCCCAAGCTCGCGCAACCCTAAACGAGACGCGCGCTCTCTCCTTTTTCCCCTTGGCTCTTCCGGACATCGCCGTACGACTAGATCTATCGCCTTTGCCAGGAAATTGCCTCGAAGCTCGTCCTCCTTCCTTCTCGTTTAAAGTATGAGTATTTTTTGTTGGCTCGTGCAAGACTTTGACCGGATCCCCTCGTTGACTAAAGCTTGACTTTCACTTTACACAGTCAAGCTTTCCTTTTACTTAGTCGCCAATCTTCTTTTACTTAGTCGCCTTATACTTGAAGCGATACGCGAATGGAAGATAGAAGAGAAAGTTGACGACGCTGAGCGCTGCCAAGAGCCAAAAGAAGTAGTCAATGTGGCCATGATTGAGGTTGTCGGCGATCCATCCGGGCTTCCCATCCCTCCGGGTGATCTTGGTGACGATGGTCACCAGCAAGCTCGAGAGGTAGTTCCCCAGCGCCACCGTCGCCAGCGACAGCGCCGAGCCCAAGCTCCGCATGGCGTCGGGCGACTGCTCGTAGAAGAACTCGAGCTGCCCGATGAAGGTGAACACCTCCGACGCCCCGATGATGAAGTACTGGGGGATTTGCCAGAAGATGCTGAGCTGCGCGTTGAGGAGCTTCGGGAAGTTCTTGTCGTCGGCATCCACCAGGCCTTTCTCCCTCGCGACTCGCAGACGCTGGATCTCCAGGACCGCCGCCACCACCATGGAGAGCGTGGAGATGACGAGACCGATTCCCATTCTCTGGAGCTGCGTGAATCCCTGTGGGTGGCCGGTGTACCTGCGGACGAAGGGGACGAGCAGCCGGTCGTAGATCGGGACCCAGATCAACACGCTGAGCGTGTCAAACATGGAGAGCGATGCCGACGGGACCTTGAAGGTGCCGAGGATGTAGTCCATCTTGAGGCCTTGCACCACGAACAGCGTCGACATCTGAGCGTAGACTGTGGAGAAGACGATGGCGCTGGCCCAGATAGGAACGATTCGTAGCAGGATCTTCACTTCCTCGACTTGAGTGACCGTGCAAAGGTTCCACGTTGTCGTCGGTCTTGACCTGTCCTCGACCGCTGCCTTGTCCAGGAAACTTTCAAAAGCGAAAGGCACAAGAACTTAGAACGAAGCGAAGCCCGAAAAAATATGTAAGGAGCACTTCTTCACCTGTATTCTGCTGTGTGCTGGATTTTTCGGCTCCCTTCGATGGCGGACGCCTTCTCGTCGACCTCGTAGAGCATGGTCTCGTCGGCTGGAAGACGTAGCCTCCAGTTCCGGATGGCTGCGACGATAACTTGAGCGATCCGAGTGAGCGGACTGCCTCCTGGTTTCTGGTGCCTGTACTTCTTGGACCCGGTGAAGAAGCTCACAATGGCTATTCCCATTGCTGCTGCCGGTATGCCAAATCCCCAGGCCCAGTTGACGCTTTGCTGGATGTAAACGAGAAAGGTGCTGGCGATCATGGCACCGACGTTGATCGAGAAGTAGAACCAGTTGAAGAAGACAGTCTTATACTTCTTCTCCGAGGGGTCTTCGTCGTCAAACTGGTCTGCTCCAAAGGATGAAACGCAAGGCTTGATTCCACCAGTGCCCAGCGCTACCAGATAGAGAGCCAGATAGAATGATCCGATCTGACCAGGCGAGGCCCCAGGACAAACGTCCCCCACACAAGATGGTGGTTTTAACGATGGAACTGACGCTGATAACGTGAGCAGAACCATTCCCTGTAAGACAAACAAACTTTTAGCTGCGAAGCTATGAAAGTCGAGAAAGAAGAACTTACCACAAAGTATACAGAAGAGAAGGCAGCGATCGTCCAGTAGCGACCGAGGTAGGCATCGGCCAAGAAAGCTCCTATGAGAGGTGTGATGTAAGCAGTTCCAGACCAGTTCGTCACATTGGTCGATGCAGTCGCGTTGTGCTGATGGAGTTTGTCGGTCAGAAACACCACCAAGTTCATGGAAATTCCATAGTAGGCAAGCCTCTCACAGCATTCGTTTCCTGTTCAAGGCAAGATCAAGCAAGATATCAGAAAGTTTCGTTTTTTTGTTGCTCACCCAAGATATAAGGACACGCTTTCCAGCCGCCGGTAGTTCTCCTATCAGCAGGATTGTGCTTCCAATCCACAGTGCCGTCCTTTGTGATGAAGCTCTCTTTCTCCAGATCTTCGCCATTTTCAAGATCCTTACAAAATCGAAAGCATCAGTGTGTAAGTTGTAAGTCTTCCATTCTCCTAAGTTTCTTCCAAGAGAAATTCCTCACCTTGGTTGATGGGGGCAGGAGCCCAGCAGTGCTAGCGTCGGCGACGGTGCTCTCCTCCATGGCTCCCATCCCTTTCCCCTCACACAGGAAGAATTTGGAACTTTCAAGGGAACTTTAGAACCAGAGTTCCCAGCTTCGATTCTGGTCTAAAGTTTCCTCGATCGCTCATCTGGCGAACCGGACGAGCCATTTGTCGCCGTATAGCGTGGAGATGCGTCTTTTAATCCTTTCCTGTGGCTCCAATAGTCCAAAAGTCCTCTCCCGGGACCAGACTCCGGAGTCTCGGTCACGACATTGGCGCCCTTCGATCGATCCAGAGTGGAATCGATACATTGGCGTACCTCACAGCCGGCTCGATCACGCAATGCGCACGGAATCCAACCCCCTCTCCTAAAGCCCTAGACTCGCCCGTACAGCGCGTACGGGCAATGAGGTTTTGGTAAAGTGTTTCGAACCTTCGATGCCGGGGAAATATCGCCATGTTGAGCGTAGTTGCTCCGCGCGATTGGGTCCTGCTGCCCTATTTTGGTTCCTCCAAGATTGACGCAGGGGTTTGGTCGATCCGGGGCGCGATAATCTCTCTCAGGTATGGGGGCTTGCTCCTCTCGTCTTCTCGGCTGGGTAATCCCTACTGCTAGCTGCATTTGTCGAGAGAGCACGGAGGAAGATCTACTTCTTCTACTTCCACAGTGAGGATTCTAGAATCTAGATCTCTGGCGTAGTTCTTTGGGATCTGCGCAGTTGGAAATTTCCAGTCGCAATCCAAGATTTTTTAGATTTTCGCCGCATTCATCTTCACTTATCCACTTCTTTCCTTTGCAGCTATTTTTATGGACGAGAAGCAAAGATTGGATATAGACAGCATCCAGTTGGATGATCCTAGCGACTGCTGCGACACGCCACCCGTCTCCCCCTCTGCCAAGGACCGGCGAAAGAAGAAGAAGAAGAAGAACAAGAGTTACTACAGCAATCCGGCCAGCATCCAAGCGTTTGATGAAGGCCGGCAGCAGAAGCTCGCCGAGGAGAAATCCCGGCAGCTCCACAAACCATCTACATTTGCAAGCTCCGAGCCGTGCGCAATCCCGCTGCGAACTTCCAAAGCTTTTGAGTATGAGGATGCTCACGCTTTGGATAGCTCACCATCGTCGCCATATCCGCTCTCGAGCTCGTGTCCGGTACGTTGTAGCTCTTTCGTGTTCTCTTGTTTGTGTTCTTAACTATGATGCTCGCTTTTCCTTTTTCCAGTTGTTTTCGCTGCGATCCGCATTGCGTGGAGGCCATGAAGGCCTGGGTTTGGGACCGAGGCCTAAGCTACACGTAAAGTGGGCCGTCGACGTTCGTGATCCGCCCAAGAGCAGCGTCTCCCACACACTCAATCGCCACAACAGCTCGAGAAAGAAACGGTCCAAGTCCAAGACAAAAACCAAGTTCGTTTTTGTTTTGCTAGTTTTCTTCTCTCTTTTCTTTGCTGACAAAAGGTGCAATACTTTACAGGTCTGGAGGCTTAAAACCATTGAACAGTGGCTCAATGATGGAGGGCCAAGAAGTCGTCCCTTGCGCTCCTGATAGCCCTGTTTCAGAGGACGAAACGGTTGGCCAAAAGCCTGGCCTTACCGGCGGACTGTTTCCTCCCAGAAACCTTACTTTCACGCTTGATGAACTTCACTCAAACTTGGCATGGTCATCAGCCAAAAGCTTCTTTGCCTCTATGGAGGTGGCCATGCAACACATGCTTCTGGCTTCTAGTTTCATCGAACAGGTACTCAGTTCTTTCGCGCGTCCACTCTTGTTACCAGCTTGCTACCGCAGGGAAATATTGCCGGTGCTTTGATCGAGTACAAGGCCGCAGCCAACGTCTTCAGGTAAATCGAAAGCTCTTATCACGCAAAAAAGTAGTGAATCTATCACACAGATTGGCCAAGCTCGACTCCGAGACTGAAGGCCGCAGCGAGTGTAGAACCGCGGCAGTCAGGGGCCAAGTTCTCGCCTGGATCGCCATGGCGACGCTCTACAGCGCGAGCGGTCAGAGCCTCAAGGGGCAAAAATGCCACAACTTGGCACTGGAGGCGTGCCAGGAGGTGGGAATGAGCTACAAGGATAGCATCCAGTGCGTTGAGAACTTCCCGGCCGCGCACCAATTCAAAGGAAATGGTGGAAGCAATCACTGCAGCCTCGCGGCGGCGCTATCGTCGGCCTCGAGCGCCTGTGAAGCGTCAAGAACAGAGAAGACGAGTGTTTGTATATAAGTTTTTTCCTCTAACGTAAGGTGTCCTTACACGCAAAGCTCCTTCCTATTTTTCCAAGATATTTAGGGCTTGGAGCTCGCGAAGCTATGGCGCCGGTCGATTCGTGCACGACGCCATTGCTCCAGGACGGCCAGACTACTGAAGCGCCGGTAAGTTCTTGGCTGGAATTTCTTTCTTGATCTGAGAGCGAGCGCTTGTTGTTGTGGAATCGTCAGCTCGAGGATCCCAAGCAGAGCTCCAGCTCGCGGCAGAACGTTTGCGAGGACGACGATGTCGATGGGACGTATTACACGGGCGATGGATCCGTGGATTCGTCCGGGCGCCGCTCGATCAGGGCCAAGACCGGCGGCTGGAAGGCCTGCCCTTTCATTCTAGGTGGAGATTGGCATACGTTGTGATCGCTTTCTCACTTTCTCGCAGGGAACGAATTTTGCGAGCGATTGGCGTACTATGGCATCAACACGAACCTGGTCGTGTATTTGACAACGGTGTTGCATCAAGGCAATGCCGCCGCTGCTAAATCCGTCACTGCTTGGTCTGGCACTTGCTACCTCACGACCTTCATTGGTGCGTTTCTCGCGGATTCGTATTGGGGACGCTACTGGACCATAGGAATTCTCTCCATTTTCTATGCAATCGTAAGCAACTGTTCTTTGTTCTTTTCCTGGTTTCGTCTCTAACTTGTTTTGGCTCTCGCAGGGGATGATTCTTCTCACTCTGTCAGCCTCCTTGCCCTCGCTGAAACCGTCCGTTTGTCCTCTCGACAACACCCCCTGCGAGAGTGCCACTCCGGGGCAAATGGCGTTCTTCTACACCGCCCTGTACCTCATCGCTTTCGGGACCGGTGGCATCAAGCCCTGTGTGTCCTCTTTCGGAGCTGACCAGTTCGACACTGGAGATCCCACCGAGAGAGCACACATGACGTCGTTTTTCAACTGGTTCTACTTCTCCATCAACGTTGGAGCTCTTATCGCCAGCAGCGTGATCGTGTACATACAGGTGAACGTCGGATGGGGAATCGGATTCGCAATACCTGCAGTCACGATGCTGGTGGCCATATGCACTTTCTTCTTCGGGACGCCGCTGTATAGGAACCAAAAGCCCGGTGGAAGCTCACTCACTCGTATCGCCCAAGTCATAGTTGCTGCCATCGCGAAGTCCCGAGTACAAGTCCCGGCGGACGAGCGGCTTCTTTACGAGGTGCCGGACAAGGAATCGGCCATCCAAGGAAGCAGGAAGATCGAACACACTGACGAGCTCACGTAAGATCTTTGCTAGTTTTGTTCGCTGATTAGTTTCGCTTTGAATCCACCAGGTGTTTGGACAAAGCAGCGACACAAACAGCTCCTGACTTAGAAAACCGACCAAGTCCTTGGCGCTTATGCACAGTCACTCAGGTCGAGGAAGTAAAGATCTTTGTCCGGATGCTCCCAATATGGGCGAGCACGATTGTCTTCTTCACGGTCTACTCGCAGATGTCCACCTTCTTCGTGGAGCAGGGCCAGAGAATGGATCCCAAACTGGGTCCAAAGTTTAACATCCCGGCAGCATCGCTCACCGTCTTCGACACGCTCACCATCATCGTCTGCGTGCCACTCTACGACTGGTTCCTGGTGCCGCTGGTCCGAAAGTTCACGGGCCACCCGCAGGGATTCACCCAGATCCAGAGGATGGGAATCGGCCTCGTTCTCGCCACTGCTTCGATGCTGGTAGCGGCGGTGGTGGAAGTGAAGAGGCTCCAGCTCGCGGCCGAGTTTGATCTCCTGGACAACGTCACGGATCCGGTCCCGATGAGCATTCTCTGGCAGATACCGCAGTACTTCCTCATCGGTGCCTCGGAAATTTTCACGGCCATTGGGCAGCTCGAGTTCTTCTACGATCAGGCACCCGACGCGATGAGGAGCTTGGCGAGCGCGCTGGCGCTCAGCACGACGGCGCTGGGGAACTACTTGAGCAGCTTCTTGGTGGCGGTGATCTCTGCAACGAGTTCTTCCGGGAGTTCCGGGTGGATCCCAAACAATCTAAATCGCGGCCACCTGGATTACTTCTTTTTGGTGGTGGCGGCGCTCAGCGCTCTCAATGGGCTCTTCTTCTGGGCATGCTCGAGAGGCTATCGATACAAGAAAGTTACCGTGTAAATATTTTACATTGGACTAATGTAACTTCTCGAGAAGAGTTAAATACTTCACTTTTAATTTCAACTCAATTCATGGTTTTCGCGCGCATTTTCTAGGGTTTATGGGCTATGGCGGGCGAGGAGGGGGAAATAAGAGAATCGTGGAAGCAGGCGCTGGATCGCAAGCTCGGGCGGCTGCATTCTTTGCTGTTTGGGGTGGAGGCCGCGATCAAGGCGGAGGAATGGGAGAAGGCGCTGGGTCTGGGGCTTTGTCTGCTGGGATTTCTCGAGAGCGAGACGAGGACGAGAGAGGATGCGGTGTACACTGCTCCAATAAAGAGGCATGTCCAGGATCTGATCGATGCGGCCAGGGACAAATTCTACCAAGGTTTTGAGAGGTAAGTCGATTTTGGCCATGAAATCTAGCTTACGTAGTGATTTGGTTGAAGAAATGCGCTCGCACAGGCAGCTCGATCTAGCGGCGCAGTTTTTGGGGGAGGCCAGCACCGTGTAGACGTCGCAGGGATTAGAAGCTCTCCACTTTACAAACCATTTTGTGGTGACAGCATCGTGAGTGATCTTTGCAGAATTTTTTATTTTTTCTTTCTCTCGTGGTTTTGACAATCTGAACTTACAGGAACCAATGGATATTGATCGCATAGACGTCAGCCCGGGAGAGAGCAAGAAGCGCGGAAGAGTCGTGTGTGAGCCGCCAAAGGAAGATATGATAAGGAACAAGTCTGTCGTTGTAGAGAAGCAAAATCCTGTGGAGAGTTCAGGAGGATTTGTCACAGCAAAGCAAAAATGGGTAAGCATTTTGAACTTTTTGACAGTTCTCCGCAGAAATTTCTTTCCTCAGGCACTTGACTCCAAGAAAACTGGATCAGCATCGTGTCCAGCACCTACAGGGACCAACACCACCGCTAAGACTCTGGGCCGCCGGAATGTTCGAAGTTCTTTTACACCACCTCTTCGCTCCAATGGGGGAGGAACAACCACGCAGAATTCGGATGCTGCCATCTCCGAGTCGACCACCAAATGGTACGTTCTCATGTCCATTTGGTTTAGTTTCTCAACGGTGTCATGTTAGCTTGGAACTTCTCTCTGGTCCTGATGGCGAGCTGCCTGACAAATTGCGCAATCTGGAACCTCGCCTGCTTGAGCACATAAGCAACGAAATAATGGAAAGGGATTCAAACGTTCGCTGGGATGACATAGGTAGCGCTTTTTCTCACTCATTAGTTTGTGTTGTAACTTCAATTTTTTGCAAACAGCTGGACTGGATCATGCTAAAAAGAGTGTCACAGAAATGGTGATTTGGCCTCTTTTACGCCCGGACATTTTCCATGGCTGCCGCTCGCCAGGAAAAGGACTCCTCCTTTTTGGCCCCCCTGTAAGTGTATATATTGAGCGCATTGATGAAGCAACTCAAGAATGTGACAGGGAACAGGCAAGACAATGATAGGAAAAGCGATCGCTGGCGAATCAAAAGCTACATTCTTTTCAATATCAGCAAGCTCGCTAACTAGCAAATGGGTAACTTTGATTTTCTTCCTAGCACATGCTAATTTTTCTGCTCAGAGTTGCAGATTGGTGAAGGCGAGAAGCTTGTCCGGGCTTTGTTTGGTGTAGCCAGTTGTCGCACACCAGCGGTGATATTCATCGACGAAGTGGACTCGCTCCTATCTCAGGTATCGTCGACAATCTGAACATCTCGGTCGATATTTACGTTTTTTAAAACCAGAGGAAATCAGAGGGAGAGCATGAATCAAGCCGAAGGATAAAGACGCAGTTTCTCATCGAGATGGAAGGTATTGGAAGTGGTAACGAGCAGCTTCTTCTTATAGGTAAGCCAGGGACTGATCGATGGATTGTAGAGTTCGACAGAAATGTTTCAGGTGCTACAAACAGGCCTCAAGAGCTTGATGAAGCAGCTCGCCGTCGTTTCTCGAAGAGGCTATACATACCACTTCCTTCTGCTGGTACTTCATTCTCGCCTCACATTATGCTTGACTATGCTTCCCATGCAGAGGCTCGAGGATGGATTGTTCGTAACCTCTTGCAAAAGGATGGTCTGTTTTGTATGTCCAGCAGCGACATGGACGAAATATGCTCAATGACGGAGGGTACATACAGACACCAGCTTTCATAACCGGAATCAAGTTCGTCCTTTTGCTGCTTCCAGGCTATTCCGGTTCTGACATGAACAACCTCGTCAAAGAAGCATCCATGTATCCTCTCCGCGAGGCGCTCAAAGCGGGGAAAGACATTGGCAAGATTAGCACCGAAGAAATGCGAGCTATTGGGCTACAGGTAAGCAAAAGCTTCCACTCTACGTACTCTTAATCTCCTTTGCAGGACTTCAGGGCCGCTCTTCAAGAAGTAAAGCCTTCAGTCTCGAAATGCGAGCTGGGTGCCTACGAGGATTGGAACTCTCAGTTTGGAAGCCTGTGCTTGTGACGAACAAGGAGCGAGCGAGGAGCGGCATCACTAGAAGATTAAAGAGTTATGGTACGTGCTTCAACAAGCGTCCAGCTTATTTCATCGTTATCGTGCGAACGCTCCAGGGAGGAAGGATGGACAGGCCGGGGCTGGTTGAGGCTCGTCACATAAAGTCGTCCTCAATCTCCTGGAGAGACTTGCCTTTGCCGGCAATGTCCTTGTTGGAAGTCATCTTCTCCGACACCATCAGGGCTTTGTAGCTCCGGACGTCCGCCTCCCTCTCCTTCTGGACGCGCTCCAGCTCTTCGCGACGTTTCTGCTCGGAAAGACAAACAAGTTCTAGCGGCCTGGGACAAAGAAAAATCGCCAGACCTTGTCGCGCATCTGGTTCTTTCGCTCCGCTCGTTCCTGGGAGTTGTAGACCTCTCTCTCGGCTGAAACGAGGAAGAGGATGATACCATGAAAACTATATGGCGAAAGAACGAACAACGCTACCTTTCAAGTCTGGAGTTCTTTCGACTTTGGTCTTGTTGAGCCGGTTGACGATTTCATTCACGCGCTTCTCGACCTTGACAGTCCGGACCTGTGAAGGAGCAAAGAGAAGTGAAACTTACAGCAGGAAAGAAACGGCTTACGAGCTTGGGATTGTGGAATCCAACTTGGCCGACGTCCATGGAAGACGACTTTTTAAGATTCGACCAGGGAGTGTAGACGATGTCGAGATTGTTGATCTTGTTCCCTGGAGCCGAAGCAAAGTTGTAAAGAACGATCAAACTTCCAAGCGTGTTGCTTGTTACCTTGGATGGAGTTTGCCTTGACGAGCTGAGCGCAGTCCTCCAGGAGCTCCGCGCTGATACTGTCCATGGTCTGGCCTTTGTGGAGCCTCAAGTAGACATGAGCCGAGGAGAGCTTGTCAACGTGAAACCTGGGAAGATCCAAACCAGGAAAATTCCTTAGGGAAGAGAAGAATTGGCCATACCAGATATCCTCGGGGAAGCCGTACTTGATGAGGTCCTCGTTCTCGTGCTTGTCCAGCCCCATGTAGATGGTGAAGTCGCCCACCTCGGGCCTGGCCTTGAAGTAGTAGACCATCCCTCGACGGCGCCCCACTAAAAAACCTAGAAGTAAAACTCCCCAGCAAGAAAAACAATCGCGTTTTGATTGGACTTTGACTATGATCGACAAGAGATTCGGGCGTGGGCGTGACTGCACACGGGGAAGAACGGCAGACTTCAGTGTACTTTGTTGCTATACGGCTGAAAATGTCTTTCTCTGAACAAGTCTCTAAGAACGAGTCTTCTGACACCTTGATATATATCTATCCGGGCGCCTCGAGAAGAAGAAGCAAAGGACCCCCAAAAGTGGGAAGGAGGCGCGATCAAAGCAGCAAGCACCACTGATCTTGAAATGGAAATCAATGGTATTGTGTGGAAACGGAAGAATTCTAGATCATCATCGCATTGAAACATTGGTTTTTTGCTTAGTTCTTGGTGGGAGAAAGCTCAAGGACACCGAATGGTTTGGCACGCAGGACCCGTATGTGATTTTACAGTATGGATCCCAAAAGTTCACAACAAAAACTTGCAAAGGTATGGCACAGTTCTCCTCTTTTTTTCTAAAGTTTTATCAATCTAGATGGTGGTGAAAATCCCGTGTTCAACGACAACTTCACGCCCTCCCTGATCGAGGGTGTTCGAGAGATGAGTGTGGAGGTTTGGAACGAGAACTCGATGAGATCCGATCAGTGTATTGGCGCAGGAAAGGTGCTCCTCGACAAAGTCTTAGCTTCCGGCTATGATGATCGAAGCTGGCCACTCAAAACAAAGAGGGGAAAGTAGTTATCTAAACTCTTGGATCTTGGAGCTTTAGAAAACTAACTGCTGACAAAACATTTCCCGTTGCAGGGACGCTGGGAAATTGAGGCTGATTTTGCACTGCGACACTACAGTTGGGGTTTATCCTCCTCAAGGTGGCAATGCTCCAGCAGCTCAATGCGAGAGTGGAGAGCCAGAAACATCAGAGAAGACCTCTTCAGCATCAGGGATTGGGGGTGCGATCAAGAAATTGGTTAGGGGCCACAGGCAAGGAGAACAAAAGCAAGAGGAAGGACATGAACAAAATGAAGAGCACAAAGCAGAAGAAGTAGAAGGAGTGGAAGAAGAAGAAGAAGAAGAAGAAGAGTCGGAAGAGTCGGAGTCGGAGGAGGAGGAAGATGATGAGTGATGATCAGCCATAAAAATCGTAAGTTGGGATTTCCATTTGCTTGCGATTGAGTTTGCTTGAAAGGTTTTATAACGATTAAATATAAATTTAATCTTTTTTAATAATCACACCACAGAAATTACCAAAAAGCAAAATATCCTTTCATTTTTAATTAGTATTTTTTATTTATGTATATTAAATTATGTACCATAGTTGCTAAATATTTAAAATATTAATAATAAATAAGTTTTTAAAATGATGAGAAAGAAATTTCCTTAGCTTTTGAAGTATATAATAGAAGCTTATATATATATATCAAATGCATTCTTTAGAAATATATATGAATCCTGTATAATTATATTATTTCTGTAACTCTTTTTCTTGATACTTTTTATGTTAATAATAGCAACTGAATTAAATTGAAATGTTAAATGTGAAGATTTTGGATAATTATTATTTTGTGGAAAATGTTTAAAATAAAATATGACAATTGCAATGAAAGAAGAGAAAGCGCTAAAACTTTTGGATCTTAATACTCCAGAAAATCAATTGCTAATAAAACATTTAAAGCTCACAATACTCCGTTAGCGTGAAAAACCTTAAGATGGTTTATGATTAACTAACATTATATTTGGCTTAGTGCAACTGATTAAATAAAACAACTTGGGAAATATATTATTTATCTTTCATTTTTGTTTTGTCTGTATAATATAAATCACACTTTTCCTTTGAAACTTTGTAGTTAAACAGTATAAAAATGATTTTAAAAATGAATAAATACAAATTAGGTTTTCCTCAAATCAAAGTGTTGCTACACAAATGATTTCATGATTGGTTTCAAAAATGTAATTCAGAAAAAGGAAACTAATGATTAAAAAACTAAAATTACAATATCAATGGTTTAAACCAGGATGGTTATTGTTGAAACAAAAAGCACTCAAAATTACAAACAGCTGTTACAAAGAGCCCTAAACTTGGATATGGGGCGCGTGTGCCAGGGCTTCCTCCAATGCCTCCTCAAGCTCGTCAATTTCGTGCTCATCCTCCTCGGCATCGCGATGATCGTCTACTCCTTGTGGATGCTCAACGAGTGGCACTCCCGCCAGGAGCCATCGCATCCGCCGGCGGCGTCTCCTGCTCCGGAGCAGCTCCAGGATCATCACCACGCGTTTCTGGCGATCGTGGCGGAGAAGGGGAATGGCTATCCTCGGGGCCCGGGTAGGGCTACGTGGATGATCGATCTAGAGCCAGCGATCACGCTGGGGAAGAGTCTCCCGGCTCCCTGGTGAGTCTATCTGTTCGAGATCCCTTTTCTTTCTTGTCTCTTATCTCGCATTTGCAAGGTTCATCTATGCGTTCTTAGGAGTGGGAGCGATTGTTTTGGTGATCACTTGCACCGGCCATGTTGCTGCCGAGACTGCCAGTGGCTGTTGCCTTTGCTTCGTATCCATTGTTCTTTCTCTTGCTACTTCTTCCAGATTTTTTTTTTCTTGCTTCCTTGACTGCTAATCCAGTACACTTTGTTGTTGGTGGTGCTTTTGCTCGCGCAAGCTGTTCTAGCTGGATTTATCATCTTTGATAAGAACTGGGAGAAGGTACTAGCTCGTTTCTCTACTTCTTGGCTTTAAGACTCTCGTTCCTCACAGGCAGTTCCGGAAGATCCAACTGGCGAATTCGACAGGATCGCACACTTTATAAAGCGCAACTTCGCGATTTGCAAGTGGGTGGCTCTGGGAGTAATCATTCTTGAGGTAATCACCGCGAGCTTTTCTTTTCTCTGTCGTTGTAGCTGAGAAACAAGATTGGCAGGCTCTCTCCTTGTTCTTGGCAATCGTCTTGAGGTCCGTGGCCTTGGGAGCCCAGAGAGGCTACGACAGTGACGATGACATGCCGGTGAGAAACACGAGGCAGCCTCTCTTGAACCGTCAGGCGACGCAGTCGAATGCAACTCCATCAGCTCCAGCCGAGAGCCGACCACCACGCAACGATGCCTGGAGCACCAGGATGCGAGAAAAGGTTGCTGCCAAATCTTTCTTTTTGCCTTGGCTGAGTTTTCAATCGCTCGTGTCGCAGTATGGCTTGGACACCGCCGAGTTCACGTACAATCCAGTGGATTCCAAGAGAGTTCCAGCGCAAAACCAGCCCCCTCCCGAGCCGAAGAGAGGATGTGTGATCATGTAAATACGTAGGATATTCGTGTTTCCACTGGCATATTCGTAACGTAATGCTTTTAGGGCTTAGAGAAAGAATATTCACGGAATTTATAGAGCTTTCAAACTTTACAAGCTCGCGGATGCGTGCTAGCTGATCGCTGGAGGCATGTCCATGAGCGTCACTTCCGGGCTCTTGGAGAATTCATCGTCGCTGCTCAAGCCATCCTCGCTGACAGCATCGTCGGCCCTCTCGCGGAGCCACGGCTCGAGCGCTTCGTCCATGCGGCCCCCAAAAACCGGCTTGATGTAGCCCTGGTCCAGCCACCGGAACACGGCGTGTGGGACGGAGCGAGGACCCCAGTCGTCTTCTTCGTGGGAGTACTTGAGCTCGTGGGCTTGCAAACTTGTCATCCTTGAGCTCGACGGGGGCGACGAGAGTCCCAGGAGTTTTAGCATCGGACCTGTGGAGCTCCCGAAGAGCAGGGTGGTGACGACGACGATGAACAAGGTGGTGGTCTCTATAGCGCGGTTCTTCGTTGGTATGTTCACGGCTAGAGCGTACGAGACGGCGCCACGGAGGCCGCACAGCCACATCATCGATTTCATGGGTGTTGTTATCGGCCACCGCCTGGATCACAGTAAAGTTAAGCCATGGAAGACAAGTAGTTGAGACGAGAGCTTTTACCGTCCTTTGTTTGCCAGCCATGAGAGTGGAAAGATGTTGATGGCCCTCGAGATTAGACACAGGGGGATCGCTGAGAGTATGAGTCCTGTGTCGAACTTGTGGTCGAGCAGCACAACTTGCATTCCCAAGTATCCAAACACGAAGATCTCCGCCAGGAAAGATAGAGCCTCTAGCGCATACCTCGAACCGATTTTCGATGCCTGTGACGAGTTGTAGTAGCCGTAGTGAGCGTTACAGATGCCGCAGAAGAAAAGGGACATGATGCCGGAGAGTGACAGTAGCTCGCCGACGGCGTAGGCTACGTAAGCCGAGATGAGAATGAAGGCCAGCTCGAACTTGGCGTATTCACTCTTGGAGTCTATGAACTTCAGCACCAGTGCACACAACAGCGATACCACAAAGCCCAAAGCCGTCGAGGCAACGCTGATGACACAAAACTGCACTGTATCACAATGAAAGAGAGCCCTGGTATCGTTGTACTTACTAGAAAAACATTGTATGCTTACCTATGGCAACACCAATGGTCGAGAAAGTGAACTTTATATCCAGGAAAGACTCCTGTCAACCAGTGCTTGTTAAGTAACAATGATAAAAAGAAGAAAAAGCTTACAAAAGTCCGGAAGAGAACTATCGCGCTAGCATCGTTGACAAGGCTCTCGCCTAGAACAAGGTTGTACAGCAACGTAGGAGCATGAACGTCTGGATTGAGAAGAAAAAAATGGATGTAAGCACCAATAGCAAACTCATCGTAGTACCTTGGAATATGGACAGCGTTGCCACGGGATCAATCGCGGATATGAGAGCTCCAAACATTAGAGAGTCCAGCAATGGCGCTTCCTTACTCAAGTGCCTGATGACACCGGCCAAGTAGAGGAAGTAAGTAAGGAGGCCATAAGCAAGAGCCGAGACAACCGTTCCAGCCACTGCGAAGAGCATGATCGTCGTGAAGTTGCGAAAAAAATCCTGAGAAGAAATCCAAGCAAAGTTCTTAGCGAGCTGGAGAATGCCAAGGAAGGCATACCTTTCGTTTGAGGGAGTAGCCAGCATTGAAAATAATAATTGGAAGTAGCCAGTAGAAGAAAGCCTGGTTATCAAACGTGAGATTTCCGCCATCGAAGAAGAGCTTGGACAATCCTCCGAATAGAATGCCGAGAATCATCGCAGCGGCTGGAAGGCAAACGATTCATGAGCTCTGGGAAGAAAATTTCATTTCCACGAACCTGATTCCGTCAAGTAGATGAACTGGTGCTTCTTCGCGAGGTACGCCACGAGCACGGCCACGATCATGAGCAGGCAGCAGAGGAGAATGTCTTCCATCGCCATGGCGAGCGAAGTTGCGGGGACCTCGAGCTGGACGCATTCCCTGTTCCAATAAGCCCTAAATTATCTAAAAAGATTTTAGGGCTCCTCCCCTCTTCTTCCTCTCATGTTTGCAGCCAAGGCGCTCAAGAGGTCCGGCGACGTGCTGCGCCTCCATCTCCGCGCCGCGGCGCATCGATCGTTCTCGTCGGCAGCCGCGCCTTGTTCCGATTGTAAGGTTTACAGCGATGCGAGCCGCGCATCGCGAGAGCTTTGGCTGAAATATTCCTTTGTTGCGCCTTGGCAGCAGCAGCCGCCGCCGCTGGATCAAATGCAAGCTCGAGGACTCTTCTCGGTGTTCTACGCGAGGCACAACAACAAGGTAAAGAAGAAGAAGAAATAATTCTCGAGAGAAAAAGCTTGTAAGAATTTCTTCCTCTGGTAGGAAGATTTCCATTCGCCTGTGGACTTCTCCATCCACTCCTACCGCCGAGAGAGGGCCGCCTTCTTCTCAACCATGACTCCAAGGGAGCGTCAAAAGATCATGCTACAGGTACTTCAGTTCATCTCTCAAGTTTCTTTTCCAATCAAAATCTCCAGAGCTTCGATCGTCCAAAGTTTGGGTTGCATCTCCCAACGAGGAGCTCGACAAGACAAGCTTCATGATCTCGTCATGGATAAGGAAGTTGTGGGTGCCGACGCTGGCCGTGTTGACAGTCATCCTGGGTTGGCAGTACCCGGTGAGCTTGGCCGTCAATCTGCTTCTCTTGGTCTGGAGCACAAAGCCAACTCCAGCGTCGATTCACATATGGCTTGAAGAGGTAGCGTCTTCCTTTTCTTCTCTTTCTCTTTTGACGTTTGATCGTTTGTTCTAGAGGCGAATGGAGGCAGCGATCCAGAAGCAAGGCCTAGACCGCTTCAAACACCAGGTAGAAAACTTGAAAGGAATACCTGAGCCTGACACTTGTGTGTGCTTGGCAGCTCAACTTCTCGCTAGTCAAGCACATCCAGGTGGAAGACCATCTCCTCTTCTGCTTGGCCCGAGTGAGCGGCCTCACGGAGTCGATCGTGCTGCTTGGCTTTCTCGGCAACTGGTGGGTCTTGCACTCGTCCACGGTTTTCTTGAAATACTGAGCTCTGTACATACGCAAAGAGTCACTTGTTCTGGAAGCACGGTCTCGTAAGAGTTATCTCTGCTGCTGGAATGTTAGAACATCTCTGAACGGCTTACTCTCGCGTTTCCATTCTGGCAGTAACATTCTCGGCCTCGGAGACTCTCCCAGTGCTTTTAAGCATCGCAACAACAGCCTCGTGCACAGCCACATCGATCTCTACTCCACTCTCTGACGCTTCCCGGAGCAGCGTGACAGCGTCGTCGGCTCTCTCAGCCTTGCAAATCCCATCTAGTAGAGCCCCGTAACTCGCCGAGTCTGGCCGGCATTCCCTCTGTGGCATCTCCCTGAACAGCTCCAGAGCTCTTTCAACGCAGCCAATCCGGCAGAGCCCGGAGATGAGAGCGTTGTAAGTGACCGTCTGTGGCGATACGTCTCCCCGGATCATGTCCGAGAACACCTCGTCGGCTTCCAGACCCCGGCCAGCCTTGCCAAGGCCATCGATGATCACCCAGTACGTAAGAAAGCTCGGCCTTGTGGATCCCGATAGCACCTGCTGGTAGAGCTCCATCGCTTCCCCGGCTCTCCCCTTCCTCAAAAGCCCATACAAGAGGAGCGTATACATGGTCGCCGTCGGCTTTGCTCGTTTGCCATCCTCGAGCTTCCCTCGATCTTCCACAAGCCTCGGTTTGGAATGCGATTCCACCAAGCTCCGGAACGTTCGAACATCCGGCATTCTTCCCTTGGCCACCATCTTCTCCATGAACTTCCAAGCGTCATCCAGCCGCTGTGCGCTGCACAGCCCGTCCATGATCACGCTGTACGTGACAAAATCGGGCTCGCACTTCTCGTTTCCAGTCATCTCCTCGAAACCTTTGAGAGCCTCGTCCAGACGACCCGCCTCGCAGAACTTCCGAAGCACGTACGTGTGCGGCACCGCGTCGGGCTTGAAATGCTTCTCCTTCATCATCCTCAGGAGCTTCCACGCATCGCTCACCCGGCCACACCGGCACAGGATCTCCAGAGCAACACCCAGGCACGGCATGTCGGGTATCTTGTCCTTGTCCACCATCTCCTGCGCGACTTTGGTGGCGTGATCCAAGCGCCCTTGCCTGCTGAGCTCGTAGATCATGGTGCTATACGTCGACGAATCCGGCTGGCAAGTCTCTTGCATCATCTGGTAGTAAGAAAACGCATCGTCCAGCTTCCCAGATCGCAGGAGCCCGTTTAGCAGCACGCTGTAGATCGCCGTCTTGGCCTCGATGCCACCCCGTCCTTGCATCTCGTTGAAGACCTCGCAAGCCTCGTCGATCCTTCCGGCGTCGCAGAGCCCCCGGACGAGCACCGTGTACGTGAAAGCATTGGGCTTGAACATCCGGCTGAAGCGCTTGAAGATGCCATATGCGTCCATGGATCGGCCACACCGGACGAGCGTCTCCAGCAGCTGGTTGGCGGAGGTGATGTCGTGCTTGAATCCATCCTGCCTCGCGGCCCAGACGAAGAAGCTCACGGCCTGATCGGGCAGCACGAGATGGCTCAGCACCAGGCACGCAATGCGTGTCGAGTCCCGGAGGTGTGAGACCAAGCGCTTGTCCAATCGCCCAGCCTTGACAGCGGCCACGATGGCCTCGGCATCCACCATCTCCGGCCGGATGGGATCCTTGGCCCAGTTGTACGCCGCCTTCTTCCCGCGAGCTTGGATCGCTCGATCCAGCCCTGCCACTGCGGTCTCCACGAGCTGGCTGCCGCAAAACGCTGCCAAGCAGCGAGCGCTGGAAAACCTGTATGCCTCCTCCCATCTCCATTTCCTGCCGAGAAAGAATGCCGCTACCTGCATTCTCCTCTTATGTCCTCCTTGCTACCTAGCTAAAGAACCCTAAAATCCCTGAAAGTGATCTACCACGATGCCTTGTAGAGCCCCATGAGCTCGTGGCGCCCGGCCATCTCCCGCAAGCAGATTCGCGACATTCTAAACTTGCGGTAGACCGATCGAGACCTGCCCGTGATGATGCACCGGTTCCTCACCCGCGTGATGGAGCTGTTCTTGGGCAGCGCGTTGAGCTTGCTCTCGAAATATCGGCGGACCTCGAGCGGGAGATTGCGGTCGTGCGTCATCGCCTTGTACTGCATGCGCTCGTTCTCGTGCTCCGCGACGCACAGCCGGCGCTTGAAATCCCGGATCGCCTTGTTGTTCACCATGCGGCCGATGCGCTTGAGATAGACGGGGCTCCGCTGCGACAGAAAGATCGGTGGAAATTTCGCCGCATCCTTGGCTTCGACAGCAGGGGCTGGAGAATCGCTAGCTGGAGAATCACTGGCTGGAGAAGAAGCTCCTGGAGCGGCCGCTTCTCCTTCTGCGGAGAGGATGCTCGAGCTTGTGAATGGCCGCGCCGACAAGAAGGATGATCTAAGGCTGCCGCCGAGCAAGGACTGGTTCCATCGCGCGCTTCTCAGGAGGAATGCCATTGTCTCTTCCCTGTCAAGAACCCTAAACCAAAGCAAATCGCTAGCGTCCATTCATGAATGTGTCCGTTTCATCGGACGGTACAGCTTCGGGTGTGGTGCTCTCTTCGGGGATCACCGAAAAGAGCAAGAAAAATGCGCCTGTGTAGATACTTACGTGCCAGAGACTGAAACCAAGAACACCATCAACGGATCTACAAGGAAAAGATAGCTTTTTTCTTCTTACCTGTGCCAAATCCAATAGTTCCTCGCTGTTTCTTGTTTCCAGCATACTCCCGCGAATGCTACGATCATGACTCCGATTCCAACGTACGCCCAGACAAATCTTTGCCGGAGCTTCTTCACGAGCGCGCTCCTTTGGAGCTCCAAGCTATACAACCTGGAAAAACCATGGAAGGTTTCACACGGATTTTAGTTTCTTGATCACGGGAGCTTCTCCTTGCTCACCTTATCGACTGCAACCGAAAGGGCTGGCATCGACGCAGCCTGTTTTGCCCCCACAGCTCCCACAACAGCCCGAGCAGAAGCACCGCCGCGCCAATTCCAATCACAAGGAGTGCGCTCCTGGCACTGAACACCAAAGCCAGTTAGTTCTTAAAGTTTGCTCAAACTTTGCGTCCTCTGGCACACCTTGTCCGATCTTTGTTCTTGGCAATGATGGCGGTGATGACCGCCGCAGCTACATGAAGCGTTGGTTTGGTAAGGCCAAGAACTTCCGCCAGATACAAGCATGTAAAGATCACGGCCAGGAAAGAGAGCCAGAAATCCAGGAACTGCAAGGCGAAAAGTTAGGAACTGTGAGCACAGTTTTAAGCTCTTGGCTTGCCTGCAATGTGTCGTAGGACAGAGCACACCAGCCACCAGCGTCACAAGAGTGATAGATTGCACTAGCGATGCCGCTGGTCGTGTATATGAGCCACTCGGACATAGCCTACGTGACGAGCTTTTCAGCACAAAATGAATTCCTAAAGCAGATATGTCGAGCACCTTTTGACGAAGAGCCCAGAAGCTTGGAAAAGCAGCTGCTGCATTCGAGCCGACTAGAGCAGCAATCTGCAAGGATCTCGCTGAAACACACCGTTAAGATCCAAACTTATGTAGCCAAGCAAATGTAGACAAAATAGATGACAATTACCTGAAAGACTCAAGAGTTTCTCCGAGCAATCAATCCCACCGTGTGTCCGGTCGCAGTTGCAGAAGCTGTAGCCAGCACACAACATCCGGCTAATGCATCACAAGAAGAAGGATTCTACCTGTAAAAACTCAAGCGACTGGCTTCGTATCTTGTGGTGCAAGATCCATGGTGCGAGCAAGAATCCACGCAGCCATGTAGATGCACCCGGAACTTGAGAGCCGCTTCAACAGCTAGAGAATGTCTCACACCGATAGACCAGAATCCTTCCGCGGGGTACGTGACGTCGAAGGAGAGAGATTTGTTGTTCTTGGATGTGTGGCGAAAGTCCCAGCTTTCAAGCGTGGGATATCCTTTAAACCGAGCATAGGCCTCTATCAAACTTGCCTCGGGGAAGTGAACCTCGAAAGACAAAACTGATCCAGCTGCACCATTTGGAACTTCCAGATTCAGATATAACCACCTCAACGTAGTATTTACAGCCTGCACATTTAATAACTTCCAAGAAAACCAGCCAGACTTGGTGCTAGTCTTCGTCGCTGGTAAAAAGCTTGAATCGAAAGGTGACTCGCTCGCCCTTGAAACAACTCTCTGTGAAGAAGAACTAAGATTAGTTTTCGACCATAAGAAACAAAGCTACCTCAAGCGGGATGGATGGCGAATTGCATCCAGCTCCACCGTATCCGGCCACACAATCCTGGATTCTCCAGAGTAGAGAAAAACACGAGTTTGAACCGCCTGTAGAATTGTCACCCGTCACACCTATGTACCACGCACCTTTCATAGGCGCCTCGATAACTAGCTGAGTCTGATTGCCTGTAGAAACGTCACTAAGTTGAGGAAGAGCTTCATGTCTGGCAGCAAGCTTCATATCGGACACGGCAGCGTCAGTGTCGACCCTGATCTCCAAAGATGACACCAAGTCCGGAATTTGAAGAAGGAAAAATGTCCACTCACCCCGAGCAACACAGTTCCCCAACAGAATTCTCCACGAAGAAGTGTTACCAGAAGCTTGCGATGTTCCATTGGCAATCCTCTCCACACCCGATACAGAAAACTCGCTGGAAGAGGAAGACGAGAGAACACTCACGCTCCGGTTACAGACCTCTCCTGCAAAATTGTCTTTGCAGACCGAAACTGCAACTTGCGCTTCAAAGTTATAAGTTGGTCCCCGTGAAATCTGTGAACAACGCAAGCAAGACATTGTAAACAAAAGAGAAAGACAAGCATTTATACGCTGACGCTTTTCTTACCATTGTAGACTGAGTCCGATGGGGACTTGGATCACTAAATGTTCCAATATATAATACTCCAGAAACTATCTGGAAACGTCAAAGAAACATTGTCAATGGAAGCGTAGACAGAGCGTAGAACATTACCTGTTCGTTCGTCATGTTGATGTGAACGGACTCTTGGAATAAAGCGCATTTCCCTGTCGTGGAAACATTACGTCTCTCCCCTGCCATCTTAATCGCTACCTCGAGGCTTTCCACTGTACCAACGATAAAAAGAGAAATCTACCAAAAGCTCGAATT